ATCCTCAGAAGAATGGTTTGTGTATTTGCTCATTATTCTATGCGTTGCTTCCACCTTCACTCAAGCGCAGCGCCACTGTATCTGTTGCTTGGATTCTGGCAAAGTTGCCAGTCTTCTTGATTTGTTGTCTTCGATAATATTTAAGAATTTCTCTATAGGACACTATAAAATTAAATTCTTAAAGATTATCTCCAAAGAACTCTTGACATTCATTTTATAATTCTCTGGCATCGCGAGTAATAATTTGAATTTCAGTTTATGATGTTGGATCGTTCGCAACTATTTTTGAAAAAAAAATTAAGTGTTTTCGATCGAAGGTGTACCAAAAGTGCTTTTGAACGTGTTTCGTAGTTGGGTGTGGTGAAATTCGTGCATTACCGGATGATTTTCAGTGTAAATTCCGTATCACAAAAGTGCCCACCGATTCCTTTTTTTTTGCCGATCGACGACGACGGGTGTGCTTTTGCGAGAGTGACGTTTATTGGATCCGTTTCTTTGCACGACTGTGTTTTTTTTTGTGACCAGCGGTTGTAAGTGTGCCAATCGCATTGCCTCCTGGGAGGCTGGTTCACCGTGTTCGGATGTTACGCTTTCATCGTGTAGTTCTATCGAGAATCTTTAGGAGACGATAGTTTTTGTTTAACTGCAGAAGGATATAAATCGTCCTCTAAACATTCATTCCATTATTATATGACACATTATATGCTGGGTATGAGACGGTCCAACTAGGGCACCCGATTGGAGCGATTTGGATGGGGAGAGTGGAATTGCCAACTTCCTGTCGTTAACAGATCGTGAATTGAAGGCGGGCTCTTCTTCATCACTCATTGGGACATCCCCTCGTGCGATGGCTTGTACATTACCGGGTTGTAGGATTTTATTGTTGGAAGGAGATTCTCTTTGATCCCGCGGACTAAGCGTAAGCGTCTCTGCTTACAGGTTCGCCCTCCGTTTTTGGCCCTTCATACAATGGTAAATTGAATACAATCAGGTGTTGTACTTGATCAAGTCGTACGAGATGGACAGTCCACTGTCTAATGGTTGTGCCTACAACAATGAGTGGTTTCCTTTACATACATACATACATACATACATACATGCATACCGAGGCGATCGAATCGGTTTCCAAGTGCTATTGGTCAGTAACTGTAAAGCTGTTCAGCGGGCAGAAATTACCGTCGGGGAGAACGCCATAGCATCAAAGCGCGTGCTGAAGTATCTTGGAGTGATACTCGATGACCGGCTAAACTTGAATAGCCACGTCGACTACGCATGTGAAAAGGCGGCGAAGGGCATCAATGCGATAGCTAGAATCATGCCGAACAACTCTGGATCAAGCAACAGCAAGAGGCGTCTTCTGGCTCGTCGTCGTCGATACCGAGGTAAGGAGGTCCTGCCTGGGATGCAGCGCTGAAAACGAAGAAGAACCAAAGAAAATTGAACAGTACGTTCCGCCTCATGGCCATGCGAGTCATGAGTGCGTACAGAACCATTTCGACGGAAGCAGTATGTGTTATCGCCGGTATGATACCCATCGTCATAACCTTGGCGGAGGACAGCGAGTGCTATATGCGAAGAGAAACCAGAGGAGTACGGACATTGGTGAGGACGGAGTCGATGGCTAAGTGGCAGCAGGAGTGGGACGCAGTGGAGAACGGTAGATGGACACACATGCTAATACCGATTCTTTCGACCTGGGTGAACAGGAAGCATGGAGAAGTCAACTTCCACTTGACGCAGTTCCTGTCTGGTCATGGCTGCTCCAGGAAGTACCTGCATCGCTTCGGACACGCAACGTCACCCCTCTGTCCGGAGTGTGGCAACGTGGACGAAACGCCGGAGCACGTGGTTTTCGACTGCCCAAGATTTGAGGCAGTGCGAGTGGAGATGCCGACCCTTAGCACGGGAAATGTCGTCAGTGAAATGTGTCGGGATGAGAGGACGTGGAGCGTCGTCAGCAGGGCAGTGACGCAAATTTTGTCGGAGCTGCAGCGAAAATGGAGAGATGATCAGCGAGTTAGCAACGCCGGCTAGCTGAGCTAAAGAGAAGTGCTTGAGCACAGTGCGCAGTTTAACCCCATTTTCCGTATTTGCTTAACATTTTATTCAAATAGCTGTTTTATTTTTTCAATGTAGCATCCTATCAAATAAAGTCCTTCATGAGGAAGTATTTCAGAAATTCACTTTCCTGCATCAATTCGATTCCTAAAACTTTTTCCTGTAAGAAAGACTATATTTTCAGCGGAAATTTGGGTTATTGAATGTTGAGACATTTTTGTGTTTTTATTCCCAGTGTGCGTTGAGTTGTTGCCATGAACTGTTAAAATTTTATTAAATAGCTTTTCCAGCTATTATTTTGACAAACTATGCATTTCACTGCTATAAATAAGTTAAGAACGAACCCTCTTGTCTCACAACCAACCGCTTCATTGATGCATCTCTATTATCATCATCACCCATATCACCACCACCAACAACAACAACAACCAATCGCTTCCAAGGAATCAAAAATATCTCCAAATGACAAAATGACAAGCGACAACCGAATAATAACGCTATGTCAGAAGTGGAAAGCAATAATGATATAATCTTCTTCGTTCTTTTTCATGACAAGCAGCCCGTGCGACACAACTCACTCGGGGCGGTAGAAGGAAACGAGCAAATTGTTGGCAAGATGCTTCACGAAGTAAACCCGAAGATGATACACGTGTGTTAATGGGAATTTTTTTGTTATGTCTTTTCTCGATTCATATCAAGCTTTGTCCTCATCCGTGTATATTGCAACAAAGCAGGCAAGCAATATATCATTATCCTTCTACCACTCGGATCGAGCTATGTTACAGAGCGAGTTTGTCATGGTAGTCGTAGCAGCCGTTTTGTCTGTATCGTTGGTTGCTTTATGTGTTTGGATTCGCTGGCTTCATTAGTGCATCTCTAGTAACGTCAACATCGCCATCATCCATACCAACATCAACAACAACAACAACAACAACAACAACAACAACAACAACAACAACAACAACAACAACAACAACAACAACAACAACAACAACAACAACAACAACAACAACAACAACAACAACAACAACAACAACAACAACAACAACAACAACAACAACAACAACAACAACAACAACAACAACAACAACAACAACAACAACAACAACAACAACAACAACAACAACAACAACAACAACAACAACAACAACAACAACAACAACAACAACAACAACAACAACAACAACAACAACAACAACAACAACAACAACAACAACAACAACAACAACAACAACAACAACAACAACAACAACAACAACAACAACAACAACAACAACAACAACAACAACAACAACAACAACAACAACAACAACAACAACAACAACAACAACAAGAACAACAACAACAACAACAACAACAACAACAACAACAACAACAACAACAACAACAACAACAACAACAACAACAACAACACCGATGACGACGACTAGGACTCAGCAGATGGCATAGAAGCCGGCATGATCACCACCCGGCACCCAAGGCCAACATCAGCAATTCTTTCTCAGCAACACAAAGGTAGCACAGTAAAGAGCATGGCATATTCTTACATTAGCAGATGGCCATCCGGCAGCCAATGATGTCACCAACCCTTCGACCTGCCAACGACGGAAGACACCCCAGCAATTTTGTCGCCTTTGCAACAGCAACACGGCGACCACGTTAAATTAATCCTACTCAGCTGATTGATAGGGCTTCGGTTGGTTTGATTATAATAGAATTCAATAAATCGGGTTCAATTGGTTTTAGAGCGCAGTAGAGTTAACTAGTGTTTTTTTTTAACTTAAGCCTGGTTGACAAATGCACAATTAATATAGTAGGGGAAATGGCTCTAATGTTGGCCTATGGATCTAAGATTGGGGCCATCGCTAAAAATCTGCTAGTTATCAATTTTATCTAGATGAACACGTCATTGGGGCGGTACTAATGAATATTTTTGGTCGCTATTGAAAATTTAGTCGATTGCTGAATTTTTGTATGGGCCCAAATTAGGAGCATTAACGCTGACATTACATCCATTTCCCCTTTTTTGTAAAAGTACAGTAGGGTATCCTTATTCCCGGATGGTTTGTTTTGCCCGCATTCCTTTATTCGAATTCTTAGATGCTTGAGCTTCGTCAGGTAAAATACTGACCGGGGCCTCCCTTAGCTCAGTCGGTAAAGGCGCAGCTACAAAGCAAGACCATGCTGGAGGTGGCTGGGTTCGATTCCCGGTTCGGTCTAGGAATTTTTCGGGTTGGAAAATTTCTCGACTTCCCTGGGCATAGAAGTATGATTGGACTTGTCACACAATCATATCAATGCAAAAATGGTACAGGCATCGAAAGCTCTCAATTAATAACTGTGGAAGTACGTCTAGAACACTAAGTTGAGAGCACGCAATAAGCTAATATGCGATATGCAATAAGCTTGAAATGCGAAGAAGAAAAAGAAGAAGATGTAATATCCTTTTTAGCAAACTAACGGCGTCTAAGTATCTAAAAATAATACGGACGAAAAAACCATCCGGGAATAAGGATTCCTCACTGTACATGCAATTTATGACTATTTGTTTGGAAAATACATTTTTTGACTATTTCCTTACAATGCTAATATTATAAGTTTTTCCTTTGCTACACTAATCATGCATATCACATCGCTTCCTCTTAATGTTCGGATTCTGATACACCATGTATTAAAATGTTTAGCCAATCGCTAGGAGTGCTACACCTATGTAAAGCAACATCTGTATGATTTGTTTATGACTTAAATGAGACTAAATAGATTTAAAATTCTCGTTGGCAACATATCCAAAATAAGATCATGGGCCGAAAAAAGATTGAAGCTTGCTATCAAGATATTTTAATCTTATAAGAAATCGAAAAGAGGTAATTGATGGAGATTCTTGTGAACTACTGACAATTGCTATCAGCCTGTGATATTCGGATATTTTTTAAAATACCAACTTGTATTTATTTCGAAATCTCGTGTATTTTTAGTAATCGTCTTCTTTTTGGACTCAAAGGGTTCAGCTAATTACAAAATAAATAGTGAATGCTAGTGGCACTTTGCAGAATTACAATGCTAGTCGTTTCATTTGCACTTTTTCTTTCGTTAACCTACGGCGGAGTTGGATTGAGCTTAATAAATTAGGGAGCCTTACCGCTATGAACACTGAACTACTAGCCCAGTGCAGTACTAGAAATCTAATACTGTCTAGCTCGCAGTTTGGCAGGTTTCCTCTTCAGCTGGACTGGGGCAGATCTTCTAAGCTCAGCCGTTGCAGGGCTTCCGTAGGCGGTTGCAGTGCTAGTGGCCGATCCTCCCTTTCCGGTACTGTACGAGTTGGCAATAGCAATGGCTCCGCCGCTAGCGCTTCCAAAGTTGATTGGGAAATAGGCATTTGGAGCAGCAGGACGGCTAGCCCCACGACGACTGACCTGAGTGTCTTGTTCATCTTCCTCGGCAGAGTCCAGCTGAACGGTAACCTTCTTCTTCTTCTTGTCTGGGATCACGGCTGGAGCAGCAGCAAATGACTCGTCAGCGATGGGTTCTTCTGCCTCCAGCTCGTGAAAAGCTGGGACATCTTGTTGGACCTCATCTTCAAGTGGGAACTGTTCTCCTGGATACACATCAGCCACAGACTGCACGTTCGGGTCCTGAACAGGCAACTCAGCACTTTCAACATCTGTGGTATGGCAATCTGATGATTAATAATATACTGTCACACTTCAAGCCCAGCTTGAGGCATTTCCAACAACTTACCCTTCAGATACGTTCCGGAAGCAAGGGTGTTTCCAGCAGCGAAGGCAGACACTCCAGCCGAGCGACGTTGATTCCGGAGTTGCTGATTTTGGTAGTGGACTCCGTACATGGTTTGCCGGGGAGCCATATAGCCCATTGGTTGCGGGTAGTACATGAAAGCTGCCAGTTGAGAAATATTCACAATTAGTATCACTTCAAAAACACTTTAACTATTCAAATACATGTCCTTTTGGACAATGAACACGCACCATTTCGCATAGGAATCGAGTATCCAGCACTGATTCCACACAGCACAACTAACACAGCCACGACCTTAATCATCATTTTTACTAAATTCACTTTTTGTTCACTTCGATTGATGCTCAATTCGAGGATGTTTTGTTTTTTTGTTCGAAACGTAGGTTTGATGTTCCTAAATTTCGAGCACGCCTTCGGCTGAAGTTCTCAGACCAAAAATCAGGAGCTAAACTTATGTAATGCTTGGATAAGTTCCCACCGATTACTGATAATTCTGGTACCGGGTACGGGCGCTTTTATACCGAAAATAGCGAAAAGATTAGTTGGTATTCATGCGGGGTAAATTATTATTGCCTCTTTTGTTCCAGTGTGCGCAAACTGATTTCGTATGTAAGGCTATCGATTTTATTAGATTTTAGAATAAATTTAAATTTGACTTACTTGAAAGCATTGCGCGAGCGAAAGAGAAACTCGGATCGGCCAATCAAGAGAAGCGGGAATGCCAGAACGGGAAAACGAGAGTCTTCGAACACTGGAGGAGCGCGAATTTGCAAAATCGAAAGAAATGGCGAAAAATCCAGCCGGCACATGTGGTCAGTCCATGCGTCACAGGGATGTGGGGTGGTTGTGCCACCCATGCAACCTGATGAACAAAACTGTTTGAGTTCCTGTTAGCGTGATACAATCTTAAAATTTATCATTGTTTATTTCCGATAAGCAAGTTAGGAAACAAAATTAAAATCAGCGTCAGATTTCACTTCGTTTTAGCGTGACTAAATTGTCTTGATCTTAGATGTAAAAAACTGTAGTGTTTGCAGTAGTTAGCACTTCCACAGTTGTTTATTAAGTGTTTTAAAATCCTGAAGAAAAAACCATTTTCCGCAGAATCATGGTAGTGTTTAACGTATTCATGATCGGTTGAAAAAATAATAAATTTTATTTCCATTAAACATATGAAAAAAAAAATTTGAATCAAAGTTGAATGATCTGATGATCAAACTAAGGTTATAAAATGAATCAATTCGTTTAAAAAATTATCTTATGAAATTTAATCAATACTTTAAAAAACTGTTTTGAATAAATATATCTATTATTATTATCAATTATTGATGGTAAATTTTCTAATAAATCTGAAAAAAAAACACAATAGTAAAAGCTTTTTTTTTACAGTGAGCAAATGGTGAAGTCAAATATGAAATAAAAATTCATGTTATTATTTAACTTTTCAGTTGAATGGTTCTAGTGCACAATGTAAATTTATAAATTTTAGCAATGTAAAATAATCATTACATACTTCACTAAATCTAGTTGACTTTTACTTAAACCTATTTACATCCGAAAAGATTATTTGATTAATGGTTTACGATATATCAGTACATGACAAAATTTTTATTTGCATCCATTTTCCTCATAGCGATGATCAGAACTCAAGCAAGGTCACTTCGACTCAGCCCGCTTAAAAAAATAGTTTTTAGTGTATTCGCAAAATTAGCTGTTGCGCATTTCGTACCAAAGTAGACTCCTGCGCTAAAAATACTCCCTCAAACAAAATCGCTCATACTTCAAAAAAAGGAAATTAATAATCTACAAAGTTCAATCACCACCAGTAGGGTAAATTATGGCTTCGGCACCCATTGACTGTTTTCGGCAACCGAAATTGAAACGTTTATTTCACTGTATTTTCCCATCAAAACTCTTCGCTGAATGCCGATTCCTTACTTTTTCAGCTTCAATCTGATTACATTTTTACGACTGTGAATTCCTGTTATACCATATTTTTCTTTAAATGAAATATACATACTACAAAATACGGCTGATTTCGAGTTGCCGATAATAGAACAGCTGGTTAACACGCAGTTCAAATGGAAAGGGTGCCGAAGAAAAAGAGACTGCCGACAATAGTCACTCTCACCTGAGAAGTTTGGAGCGTTGTAAAAACATGTTCAACCCGTTTTGATCAATTCTGTCGATTGGAATTGGTAGAACAGCAAGCAGCAGATAAATGTCAACAAACAAACCTGTCATGTATGTGTGTGACGCTGAGAAATCGCTAATAGAAGTTCGGACGCTGCTTAGATTGACGAGAATACGTAAATTCCCCTATGTCGATATGATACTCTATTGTAAAATGTAGCACTTTTTAACTGGTATTTTTTTACTGGGCTGACCGAAAAAATATATGAGGGATTGATTTTTAAAATCAATCCATCGAGCAAAACAATTTTTACAAAAGTTGATAAAATATTGTTTTTTGACTTATTTGTTACTTTTAATAATTTCCGTGTATATTTTTCTCAAAAAGATATTATTATTCTCTACAAATTTGTGTCAAACGTCATTTCGATCAAAAGTGACGTTTACGAGCTGCATTATATTATATTTAAATAATATCTTAATAAAGTTGAGATAGCGTACCCAACCTGTACCCAAACAGATGGTTTCTTTACTAAGGAGACTTTCAGCCTAAGGCTGGTTCGTCTCCGGGACACTTCTGAGAATATTTTGAGAAGATTTAAGCCATAACAGGTGCGAAAAGAATTACGTATCTTCGTATTTTTGAAAATAATCTTAAAAGCTCAATTTTCCTTTAAAAAATCACTCATCCCATCCATATAAAGTTGAGATACCGGGAGGTACGTTCAACCTGTACCCATGTTTACTGGTACTTCTGAGAATATTTTGATAAGATTTACATCATAGCAGGTATCAAAACTTACACATATCTACGTATTTAAAAAAATTAAATATCGATCAACGTAATTCAAGCTGATGTATGAAATAATGATGTTATAGCAAAAAGCAGATACAATATTACATATTGTAATTTTGTTCGCAAAATCGATGTATGTCGGCAGAATGACCTCTGTGCAGCTTTTTGGATATAATATTCAACAACTATTTCTATTTCTGTGCATGTTATCTACATTCAGGGGAAAACTTTACAGCTTATCACATTGAGGCGAACATTGACATTCATATTGAGACAAACACAAAACGAAACGGAGAAAGAGGGGTTCGCTTAAATAAATGTTATTTTTCTCAAAGTGCTCTTTAAATGAGAAGCTTTTGAATTTGCTCCCGGTTTCAACCGGGATTCGAACCAAGGTCTCTGGGATCCAAACGCGCGTACCAATTCTAGTGACGCTTGCTGGATCATTGCGATAAAAAAAAACAAATAAGCAAGTATTTTTGACTGAAGGCTTCACAGAAAATTTTTTCGTATTACCAACGAAATATCCAACGCAAATTGAAATCCAATCCTAAGAGCTTCTGGCACCCCAGCAGGCCTGGGTTCAATCCCAACCGGCGCCGCCGGGATGTTCTGAGGCATAACATCTCTGATCACGGAAAGGAAGTAAAACCGTTGGTACCTGGTTCATGACTTGATGGGTCGATAGGTAGGGTCCAGGTGTGGGAGCTGACTCTCTGGCGTCGGTAGCATTGGTGCTCAGCACGGAAAACAAGATAGACGGAAAAGAAGTCAAGGGAAAAAATAAGAGCTTCTGGAAATTCTTTAACGAACAACGCAAAGAATTCGGCCTTCCTTCTACGATGAAATTAGGAACTAATGTCGCATTAAGCATAGACGACATCTGCCAACAAAATTCGCTAATGTGTTCACGAATGAGAGTATCACAGTCCAACAAGTTTCCCGAGCTGCTTCCCATGTGCTCACATTCAATCAAGTCCTGAACGAAATTCCGGTGAACGAAAGGATCATCTCTTCGGCAGCAGCCAGATTGAAATCGACTTACAATCCAGGGCCTAATCGTATTCCGTCTGTTTTCCTGAAGCAATATTTGACATGTCTACTGGAACCTATACGCCATCTTTTTGGATTATCTCTGTCAACAGGTGACTTTCCAACGTGCTGGAAGAATGCACAAATGTATCCAGTTCATAAAAAACGGAGATAGGAAGGATGTAGAAAACTATCGTGGATTCACATCACTGCGCTGTTTATAAACTCTTTAAACTTGTTGTTATGGAGCCATTGTTATAGCAATGTAAGCAATATCTTCATGAAGACCAACAAGGTGTTGTGTCCAATCGATCATCGACAACCAATCTGCTGTGCTTTGCATCATACATTACGAATAACCTGGTGGAGCGTTACCAGACCAACGCTATCTACACTGATTTATCAGCAGCATTGGACAGTATCAACCACACCATCGCAGTTAAACTTGAACGACTGGGATCAACGAATCCTTACTATCATGGTTCCTTTGTTTGTGTTTCAATAGAGGAGTGTACCTTCCCAGCAAACTCGGGCATACTCCAGGGAAGTCACCTCGGGCCATTCATTTTCCTTATTTACTTCAATGAAGTAAACCTTGTGCTAGAGGAACCTCGTCTATCCTTCAGCGATCTGAAGATTGTTTTAATGATTCAAACGCACGCCGATGCTTTGTTTCTACAAAAGCAAATTATCAGATTTAGTGACTAATGAGACTTAAACCGGATGACTATGAACACGAAGAAATGCTCAGTAACCACTTTTGCTCGGAAGAAAGAGTCATTGATGTTCAATTATACACTGCTAGGAATTGCGAAAAACTTAAATTTAAAACCTCTAAACATCATTTTCCAGAGTTGCCGCCTTACAAAAGTTTGTTTGTAACACCCTAAGCTATAATTTGAAAGGTGAGCCTCTAGGTTTCATGACAAAATGCTATTTTGGGACACCCTAGTAGGCACTCTATTAACAATGTGATAACCATTGAGGGCACCAACACGTTGCTGAAAGGATTGCCCAGGAAGACGATTTCAAGATTCAAGATTCAAGGTGAAGGTGCGTACTAGTCAAAGCTAAATTCAAAACGATTGAAAGGCAATACCTGCTTTACCTGTAAGAAAACTGCGACTTTACTACTAATTGTCCGCTGAAACTTCCCACATGACGCAAAGAGCAGTTTGATTCGTCAAGCTTGCCAGGTTTAAACGTTCGAATAAAAGGCGAAGCAGTTCCAAACTTCAAGAAGAATTTATTGTCGATAGCGTGAATATGACTGTTCTGTTCTAGGCCAGTGGATGCGATGCTCGGTTTGTGCTATATTTCCGCGAATGTCGTTTCCCCGAATTTCACTTCCCCGAACCCCAACGCCATTTCCCCGAATACCCATTTCCTCGATTACCGTTTCCCCGAAAGTGCCATTTCTCCGAATGCCATATCCCCGGAAAAAGTTAGTTCCAACCCTTATTACTGGCAATTTTCTTGCTATATTTTGAGCATAGTTAGCAGATTGCAACCCAGCTTAAAT